TGATCGTGTCGAGGAGCAAACGTGGGAAGTGGAGACCCTAATGAGGGAACAATATCCATTTCTGTTTGATTAGACACATGGATTTCGGGGACGAAATCCCAAATAAGGGGGGTAGAACTTGTAACACCGCCCCCGAGTATTTGTACTGTACCAAATTATGTATTGAACCTTGAGAAATGTATAAAAGCATTTTTACGTGATTGTAAATTTTTATCATTTCTATTACGTGAATAGTAAAATTCACGTGGGGCCCACACCGGATGTGGGGCCGCCCAATATTATCGGGACCACATATTATATTAATCTTGGACTAGATAATATGTATATGGTGGTGGATATCCTAATGGGGCCATGACAATGGCACAAGGGTGACCGGTTGGTCAAACGGGCTAAATTATCGGTATCGGCAATTTATCAGATAACAGCCCAAAAAGGGATTCCGAGAACCTATAAATTAAAGTTGGGGATTTCATAATGATTCTAAGGCCCAATAAGGATTGGGAATGAGTGTTATATTTTATTTGACCCAATAAAATAAAATATACTTAAAACAGTCCGGAAAATACAACTTTCGGGACCGATTCTACACTTAGGGACATAAAGGGATGACCTCCCACATGAGTGGGGGCCACCCCACGGACTTTAGTGCTGCAGATGTCAAGGGAGCCGCACAAAGAGAAGGGGGAGGGGAAAGAGAAGGGGTTGAGGGGAAAGGCATTAAATGGAGTAGGGCCTCCCACATGCCATGATTGTGAGAAATGCCAAGAAGGCATTCTCAATCATACCAACCCACCCCATTTCGTATCAAGCATCAACCAAGTGAGAGGAGCTCTGAAAATAAACCATTTTCATCCATCATACACGCACCAAGTTAAGGGAGGAAGAAGAAAGGGAAAAGAGAAGAGAAAAGAGGAGTTTAGGTGGGAAAACTTGTGTTTAACAAGGTGATGACTCCATTACTCCTATTTCTTGTTCTTCAATACTCTTTTATGATTATTCAATCATATTTCACACCCTAGTAATGTTCTACACGTTGGGATGTGTAGAAAGAGGGGTTGGAAGGTAGTTCTAAGTCCAAGAACGGACTTAGAAGCCAAAGTGACCGGTTCGCCGGAAAATAACCTTTTTGAGGTTATTTGTATTACTATGGGTTTTATGATGATAAAACCTTGTTAGTAACTTGTCTAAGGTATTCAAGGAACTTTCACGGAGTTGAAAAGGTCGCCGGAGTTGTCGCCGAAGTTCGTTGAAGTTCGCCGGAGTTTCGTCGGAGCTAAATCGGGGAGGCTAGAACTTCATAAGCTTCATTAAGGTGAGAAGACGGCTTTATGCTTTATAACTTTTGCGTGAGGCATGAGATTACCTAAAGTAATCAGGAATATGTTTTGTGGAATGATTAAAGATAACCAAGTGTGTGTTTATGCCATGATTATACACAAAACATAGTTAAAAAGCATGTTATGTAGGTTTGGTGATTAAAAATGTGATAACATATTTTGTGTGATGATCCAGGGATCCAAAATGGTATTTTTGGATCAAGGACATCAAGAAGTATATGTGTATAAAATTTCAAGTTAATCGGACTCCGTTTGGGGGGTCAAAAGGGGCGTTGACCGCCAAGTCAACTGCCATACCCGATCGGGTATTGACACATACCCGACCGGGTATTTGTTGAAAATCAGCTTTGTGGACTACTGTCTCCTGTACTCGACCGAGTATGGGTTAATACTCGATCGAGTATTGGGTTATGCTCAAAACGGGCAGTTTTGAGTAGGTTAACGTGGGCCGTTCGGGTGGAACCCGCCCACGTTGGATCCTAAGGATTGTTATATGACTATAGGGCTAGGAATTGTCCATAGTTAAAGGAATGAAAGGTTAGCCATATCCAGGTTAGGATTTGGTAGAGAATAGACTGGGGATTGAGTGCCCTTGGACGGTAAATGATCCAGAATACTCCAGGTGGGGTCGAGTACCCTTGGACGGTAAATGATCCAGAATACTCCAGGTGGGGTCGAGTACCCTTGGACGGTAAATGATCCAGAATACTCCAGGTGGGGTCGAGTACCCTTGGACGGTAAATGATCCAGAATACTCCAGGTGGGGCCGAGTACCCTTGGACGGTAAATGATCTTAAATACTCCAGGATGGGTTGAGTGCCTTGGACGGTAAATGATCCTAAAACACTCGGTAGTATGAATCGAAGGTAGACTATAGCTTGTGAGCTAGGTAACCGGGAAAGGAGTGAGAAAAGTCAGGCAAGAACTTTATCTCTAAAAGACTCTTTAAGGTAAATGACCTACGGGTTGAGTATTTTACGAGTATATATACAGTATGTATCATCGGGTGGATGAGGGACATCTATATGTATATATCACCCTATTTTTGGGTCTCGTGTCTGAAACATTAGTTATTCTTCATATAGCCTGTTTGTCACTAGTACTTCTATGGAGTACTGACCCCTCCGGGGGCCCTCACATTTTTCAGGTTGAGGCTAGAGTCCTACTACCTGCACCTTTGCCTAGGGTGACTGATCGAGAAGGAAGACGTGGTTCGTGCTTCCATTCTTATTTCAAATGTATAAACCGCTCATGGATTTTTGAACAATATTTTCATTAAAACAGTTGGAGGCCTGTGTGCCCGTGTTTGCCACGTGTGGCTAAGTATCAAACATTTTATTATTTTCCGCATTTGATTGTTTATGATATTGATGTTGATTGTATGTGTTTACTAATCGGTTTGGCAATAGAATAAATCGGACGCCTTGTACAACTCAATAGGGATGAACTGTTGTTGTTCTTATCGGGTTGTACGGCGGTTGTCTACGTGGCTCGGATGCGGTCCGGGGCGTGACACCAGTAGTAACCTTATAATACTATGTCTCATGGTTATCTAAGAGGGGGTAATTATATTAATTAAATAAAAAAGCCGCCTGTGTTAAGATTACAAATCTCAATTGATTTCATCAGATGACAAATGGTTGAATTAGATAGAATCGATGGTCCTAAGATTCCTGTTGTGACATCCGAGAATACTCACATCGGGACACGAATTATCATTTTCAATTGATTTTATTAGATCAATCGAATGCTACTATTATGATCAATATATGATGATTGTTCTAAATTGAAAAATTGTAAGAGCTATTAAGGAACACGTCTCGTTATTAATAGTTATTTTTGATGAATTTGAGTTTCTCCGCAATTGAGTATTCACGAGTGGACTATGGCTTTGATTTCATTGACGGGGAATCTGACGCTATCAAGGTTATTAAGAGTATTCAGAATAGTGCAGATGAATCTTCCTTCGGTATCATTATTGATGATGTTTGAGATATTATGACTAGTTTCATTAGTATTTCTATTTTTCGTGTGAAGCGGTCAGCGAATAGGGTTGCTCACGAATTAGCTATGACAGTCATTTTTATGTCTCATTGTTATGTGTGGCATACCACGCCTCCATATTGTATTCTAGATTCCTTAAACTTTGATTAATATTATATGTAGTTTGACTTCCTTAAAAAAAGTGTTCACGAGGGGAGATTTAAATTATTAATTGTGATCAACAAGCACTTCACTAAGGGGAAAATAGCATGATCAAGATTGATTATCTTTGATATTTTAATGTATTCATTTTAGTGTTTTTTTGCTTTCTCAATCATCACAATAGCTCAACTCATCCATATTCCATTTACTTTGATTTCTTACACTTACCCGGTCTCCAATAAGCACAACGGCAGCAAGAGGTAGGGGTGGACCGGTTCCAGTTCGGGCCTGGTTCGGGCCTGGGCCCGGCCGGGCCTCGGTTCATGAAGGGGAGGCCCGGAACCGGCCCGGGTAACCCCTGGGTCTGGGCCGGATCGGGCCTCGATTCTATTTTTTTTTTTTTTGATTTTCCTAGTTAACCCCCAACCCTCCCCCCTCACTCCCAAACCAACCCTAACCACCTCAAATGGCCTAAAATACCCAACCCAACCCAAAAACTTAAAAAAAAATCAAAAAATAAAAAATAATAATAAATTAGCCCGACCCGGGCCCGAACCGGCCGGGCCGGTTCACCTTTTGAAGGGCCCGAGCCCGAACCGCCATCCCACCGGGCCGGGTGGCCCGAATCGGTCAACCAACCGGTTCACCGGGCCGATCCGGTTTCGGACCGATTGGCCCGGCCCAAGTCCACTCCTAGCAAGAGGAAGTGCGAAAGAGGTTGCAGTGCTGAATATATATGTATATATATATATAGGATTAGTAGTATATATTAATTTTCTTACAAAATAAAGAAAAGTCATCTATGTATTGTTGTAAAAGAATCTAAATCAACAATTACAATGCAACTAACAATTTATTAAATGAGAATTATAATGAATAGATTCCACAATAGAGAGTAATAATAATAGAGTTGCACACAAAATCAACAATTTATTTAATTATGTTAGTGCCCAGGTCCCCCAGGCCATACACTAGTATTTGCAACTTGCTCGATTGCTCGAATGCTTCCTTGTGTGACATCGGGTCAGCGGCCTTGACAAAAATAGTGGAACGCAGCCGATGTGCGATAATAGCAGTTATCGAACAGTTTGGAGGAAGAAACTATAGAAGTAAGAGAGGCCAGAGAGAAAGATAAGGTCATCTTCAAGAATTGAGCTTTTTCCCACACATCGAAGTGAACCTGTAAGTGAATCTGTTTTCCGTCTCTGATTATTGTTGTCTCGAAAAGAGCAGCTTTTTAAGTAAAAAAAACGGTTGTGTTGGAAAAATGTGTTAAAAATTGCATTAAATGGTTATTTTGGACAATTTTGTGAGTGGGCTCCACTTTTGATTTGGGTCGGGTCATAGTGGTTTCAGATTTTACTGGTTAAGGGCTACAATTCAATATGTGTTACACTCAAAACGGATAATGGATGAATGAAAAATTGATTCTCAAAGTTCAATCGTTGAAACGGAAAAACTGGAAAAAATGATGTCTTAGTTTAAAAAAGCACGCCTCACGCAAGGGCCCGAGGCGCCCTAAGGCGAACACTTTATCGCATCTTCAACCCCCAGGCGGCGTAGGTTCCAAGAGGCGCGCCTTATACGACGCTTTTTGACGCCTTTTGCGCCTCTGAATGGATGTCTCTCTAGTCTTCTTCCTTATTCCTTCTTCTCCCTTCTTCCTTCTGCGTTTGCTTTGCTTCCGAGTTCCCACATCTGCTGTCCCGTTTCTTCTGCTACTTTCTTCCGCTACTTTCTCGCGTCGCAGGACTCACAGAGTAGTCGCAGGTAGGTATTAATTCAGCATTCAAAGGCATGAGGCGGTATATCCCACATGTCAAAGGTAGGTATTAATTCAGCATTCAAACGCCTCACGCCTCGGTATATATCCCACACCCGAAAACTCAAGAGATTTTCACCTCTTATAAAGGGAACCCTCTTTGACCTCTTTGAAGGAGTTAAATTCTTACGGGGAGAGCTCTTTCGCGCGCAGGGTGCCGATCAAATCTCGAAAACGGAGAAGAAAAACCGCGACTCGTGTGCGCGGGCGACCTGCAGACATGAATGTCGTCCGAAAATCTATCATTCAAAGGTACGATTTAATTTTTGTTTCTTCCCGTAAAAAAGACCATGAGTGGCTTCAGAACAGAAGACCACCGGGGAGTTCTGGTGCCTTCTCAACAGAAGACTAGAGAGCAGTTCTGGTGGGGGTATTCTAGTCTCATCTTTAAATGGACAGTTTTCGACATATTAATGCCCAACGTGTTGGACATTTATGTGCAAAGTTCAGGTCCATTAAAGCCCGATTAACACACCACAAATCTTCCTATAAATAGCTGACAGGTGCTTTGCAACAACACATACGTTCTCACACGTTCACAAGCAATCTGCATGTAGTTTTTAGCTCTAAAACACTTATAGTTACTCCGAAAAATTCCTAAGTGTTCTAACTTGTTCCTGTTCGCCGGAACTTTCGTTTGTGTGCTCAAATGTTGGTTCGTTAGCCACCGTATCCTGGGAAACGGTCGTTGCAATGCTCCTAGCATCGTGGGAGGCGACGAATACATTTTAAAGACATCGTGCGTTGCACGAGCTCTGGCTAAATTCCGTTCCATCTCATTTGTGTTTTCTTTAGTCATTTTAATTAATTAATTTTTATTAATTATTTCTCAGTTTTTCGAAACACACCCAACATGCTGTACTATTCAGTTTCTAGGGACACTTGAAAGTAGATACTCCCTCCGTCCCGATCCCAATTTGACGGTCTCGTTACGGTTTATCAAACATATATCCAGAAAAAGATAAATCAAACACTGTAGTAGTATTCAGTTTCTAGGGACACTTGACTGACGATAAATCAAACATATGCATGTCAGCATTCAAATTATTTTTAGAAGAAAAAGATTACATATTCAGAAACTAAGTTAAAAGCTTTACGAAGTCGCAAAACCCTGAATCAAATTTGACAAAATTTTGATATATAAAGTAAGAGATTAAGAGTGATTTATGTTGACTAAGTGAATAGGAACTGAGACCATTAAATGAGAACAGAGGTAGTACAATATTAGTGAGCAAAAACTTAATTTTTTCGCTTGGATTCGGTAAAATTAATAAATTTGACCCTCTCCTGATGGAAATGAATAGTTAATTATTTGCCAATTAATTTAGGCTGTAGCAGGGAGATGAAATTTAGTAAGCAGAAACCCGAAATCGCAATAGAGGAGAGCAATGGACCTCCCCCAAGATTGCCCACTTCAGTTATGCATTCTGTTTTCTCACATTTCCAGTCAAAAATTGGAAAGCCCCTACAGGTTTGTCATCTGTGATCAAGAGTGGTTGCTTTATGGGGGTTCTAACCATTGTGTTCCAATTACTTCAAGACTTTGTCTTTTTGCCATTGCAGGTTAATTTTGAAAGATTAAAAAGGGGCGGAGATGAATTAATGACTTCACTTGTAAGAAAAAATGAGGCATCTCTGGTCTTAGATATTGATCTTGAGAACCAAATGCAACCTTGGAAAGAGAATCCTGTCTGGACTGATCATCCTCCAGATATAAAGGTAATATTAATCTGAGTTATCGATCTGGTAAATGCCCCACATGTTCCAAAAACTACTCTTCTAGAGTTCTAGCATCTATGCATCATTAACAAGTTTACTGAACAGATGTTTTGTTAAAAAAATGGTTCAGCGAGGTATTTAAGTACACCCGCGGTCCCAGTTTAAGCTTCTCACTCTTTTTGGGACGTCCCCAACTAAAACTTCCCATTTACATTTTAGGAAATAATTAGCACTTTTGAATGATTATTACATCAAATATTAAAAATAAAACACCTGTAACATTATAGTAATCATCAATGATTTCATTATGTTATATACTCATCAAAACTATTTCTCAAAATATACCTTATTTAATTATTGTCTAAATAATCGTGTCATTTTTCAGTGAGAACCTTAAGACGGTACAGAGGACAGAGGTAGTATTTTAGTTGAAAAAAATGTTCTCCAGTTTCTCATTTACTACTACCCCTGTCCCATTTTGTTTCTTCTATTTTCATCACGAGGTTTGACAACATATGTGACCCAATATGACCCAAAAAAATATATTTAAAAATGTTTACGGACAGAAACAGTACTATACTAAGATCATCGGGGTTGACTGGCTGAATAAAGTGAAATTGACGATTCAATCATCTTTATTATGTATTATAGTAGGTATGAAGTGTTAAATTGGTCAAATTATACTATTAGGATAGACTCGACCCCTTTCCTCCAATTAATAGATGTAAAGCATTTAGGAGGCTGGAGTCTTCCCTAAGAGCATCTCCATCCATGATCCTCAAATTTACGGTTTTTTATGGTTAGTTATTGTCATGTCAATGTCACATAGAAAAATCTCAAATAATCTTCAAATTTATCAACTTCTTCTCAACCATGATTTTTATTTGCTCGGATTTTTATGAGTAAATTGTATTTCAAATTTAAAATGCAATTTGCAATTCCCAATGATTGCAAGAAATGTTCCCACTAAAGTGCAATAGCCTTGCCCATTACAAAAGTAGTACCGTAATTGTGTTCCTAGATTTGGGAGAAAGAGTTTAAAAGTTTGTGAATAATCTCAAAATAATCCAGCTGTAGAATTTGATACCAGATTATTTTATCAAATAATCTCATAAAATAATCTCAACCCCTCATCCATGATCTCAAAAAAAATCTTCCACATCATCAAAATGATCCCAAAAATAATTTATGGATGGGGATGCCCTAATAATATTTGAATTAGTAGTAATTAAAAGTTACTCCATCCGTCCCGTTGGAAGATTCCCATAGCAAAACGGCACGGTTATTTCGACAATAATTAAATAAAGTATTTCGAGTATATTGTGAGAAATAATTTTAATAGGTATATATTATAATGTAGTTAGTATTGATAACTGTGATGTTATAAATGTATTATTTTTTATATTTAATGATTAGTTTTTCACTTAAGATTGTTAATTGTTTCCTAAAATGGAAATGGGAACCTTCTAACGGGATGTCCAAAAAAGGAAAGTGGGAACCTTCTGATGGGACAGAGGGAGTACATATTTAAAAAGTATACTAAATATTTTTTTGAACTGCCCAAAAAATTGATGCCCAAAACCAGAGAATATGGAAGTATTATGTTGTGCTGAAAACTGAAATGACACAACATAGAAAATATTTCATTTATAGCTGGAAACTATGTTTCTCAATACTATTGAAAGCTGTGGAAAGTTTTTCCACAAACATGTATACCCCTGTTGCTTATGTATTGTTCCTGACATATTCATCATAACCTTAATCTCATTTATGCTGGAATTGTTTGCGTAACATATAGTGTGAGTTAATCGTCTAAAACTATTTCACACATGATGTCATTGAAAAAGAACATAGTAGCAAAGATTTGCACTGTATACCTTTCCTACCGCAACCTTATTTTGAACAAATATTGAGATGAAATTCCAAAACGGTCGTTATCATAAGCTTTTGTTTAACTGCGTGGAAAATATGATGAGTCAAGAATGAATTCGGATGGTTGTTATGTTATAGTCATGTATCATTACAAGGTATATATTGTAAAATCTACATACACATCCTGGGATTAGTGTTTGGCTTTTATTCTTCCCATCTTGATTTTTTTGTCATTTTCTAATCCTTTGAATGATTTATGCAGGTGACCATACCTGAAGGTTCACTGTGCAAGATGAACGTGAAAGTGGATGTTGGATTGCCACCAGATGCAGTTTACAACATTGTAACTGACCCTGAGAATAAGAAAGTTTTCAAGAATATTCAGGTATTTAATGTGCTTTTGATGGCTCCAATGAAAAACCATGAGAAGCAGAATTTGGATTTTTTCTTTTCTGTATTTCTTGCAGCTCATACTCTCATGTGCTTGACATAACTAACATAAGGATGATAATTATCCAACAGAGTGTCGTATCAAGGAAGGTGTTGGTTGATGAAGGGTCAAGGCAGGTTGTGGAACTGGAACAAGCTGCTTTGTGGAGATTCCTTTGGTGGTCAGGGACGATATCAGTGCATGTCTTAGTAGACCAGAATAGAGAGGATCACACGGTATTTCTTTGGGAGAATGAAACTGTGCACCCCATTTTTTTGTGACATTTGACTTTGCACCCTATTTTCAAACTGTTTTAGTCCTATTTCGGGGTGCGAAGTCAAATTATCCCTATTTCTTTTTAATTTTTTGGCATTTGTGTGTGAGATTCATTTCATCCAATGCCATTAATGCCTTAATCCCTAGCAAGTTGGGGTTAATATGATGATAGTTAAAGATTGTTGGTAATATAAGTTAATGCATAAAATAGAAAGTGAAGTTGCATGAAGTGTGTAGAACTTGCATAACAATACTAATAGTTTAGTTCGAAAATATTCCACTATGAGTCCCAGTGTCCCAAAACTATGAAGTCATTTACATTTCTGGTCCCCGACTTTATTCTTTTCCTTCTCTTGGTGCACCACTATGATTTATTGATAATTTTCTTCCTTCTCATCAAAGAACCTTTATAAAATCAATGAGAAATTGTACGATCGGATTATTGAATTGATAATTAAACAAATGATATAGTATCTTATGACTTTGTTTTACGTATATTTTAATATAGTAGATTTATCTGATGTTCCGTTTTCTGTTGTAGATGAAGTTCAAACAAGTAAAAACTGGTTTCATGAAAAAATTTGAAGGTTGTTGGAGAGTTGAACCCCTTCTTGTTGATGAAAATGTATGTCATCCATTAAGACCTAAGAACTTGGCTGATTATGTTTCGTGCACAAAAGGAAAAGGAAGGGTTGGATCAAGATTAAGTTTGGAGCAGCTTATCCAGCCTGCTCTTGTTCCGCCCCCACCCATTTCTTGGTACATTAGAGGAATCACAACCAAGACTACAGAGATGATTATAAATGACTTGCTAGCCGAAACAGCCCGGATTCGAAGCGCATCTAGCATGGAGAATTCAAGAGGTTCCGTGGTATCGTCCAATGAGAGGTCTGGTGAATCACAATTTGAAAATTTAGGCAATGTAAAGGAGAGATGGGCATCAAGAAGAAAAAAAGCAAGGAAATGTGGTAGAAGACTGTCTTTCAAAGATTCTACCAATAAGTGATGCATGCTTGATCGAACTTCTTAAGCCATTCTTTTTGTAACGAGCCAGCAAAATGTTTCTTTGCATGTGGGGTCTCAAAGATGGAAACCTCTTGTATACAAAATCGATGTGTGTAACATTAGGCCATGAGACTGTAGACATCTAAAGTTAGTAGGTCATTTGTTCATAAATCAATTGGGCCTTCAAGATATTGTCATTGAGCCTCATTTTGTCCTATTGGGCCTCTTACGAATCTATTAGGCCAACGTTCTACTAGACTGTTTGTCAATGTTATTTGTCTTAACAAAAGGAAAATATTAATATGGATTTGTTCGGATAAAATTTAGTAATTAAGTTAATTTGGGTCATTTAAGATATCCCATTAATTTAATTATAAATTAAATCCTTAGAAGAATGAATCGGTCCTATTATTTTTTCTATTTTGATCTCATTATTATGGCTTGATGAATAAGAGATATCATCCAACTTGTGAAGAGGATAATGAATCTAGCTAAGAAATGTGTCCATATGCATAAAAAATGGTCCTGAACCTTGTTAAAAAGGTTGTTCAGATACATTGCATAATTGCTGATTTTTTTAGCTATTAAAAGGCAAGCAAATAGAGCGGAAAACCCCATTTATAGGTGTGGAACTGTGGAAGGGGTGAAAAAATGATTTATGGTTTCAATTAACCACTTCGGTCGGAACTTCATAAATTTCAACAGAAGCAGCCTAAACAGTCGATTTGGATATTACCAAACATGGTCTTAGACGTCGATTGTCTGTATAAAGAGATTATTACTCCCTGTCCCATAAAATTTGACTAATTTTCTTTATATAAAGTATTAAATTTGTGATTATGTTATTGCTCATCTTTTTGCATAAATCTTAACCACATAATTTTTTATTTCTTATACCATGCGTGTATAGTTTATGCTATTTTGTGACTTATTTCCCGTTTTGTAATTCATATGCTCGACTTATAAGGTTTATCGGTCAACATTTTTTAGCAATCATGTGATGTCTTCTATAATAATAAAAATAAAAAAGTCTGGAGTAACTCTTCTTGCTGAACTGGCCGAAATGAAAATCATTATGCGTTACCTCGTAGTAATTTTTTGTATAATTTTTTCAATATTTTATTAATAAAATATATTGTTAAACATAATTTTTTTATTATTACTAAATCTTACTATATACAAAAGAGATGGAAAGATGTACAGTGTTCCCGCCCAAAACGCGGGTCGAAAATGGATCATCCGGGCCAGGCAGGCAGATGATGCGTACTGTTTGAACACGCTTTTAAATTGCATTTATTGGAAGTGACTATGATTGGATGGTGGCGTGCTAAATCAACCGTCCATGCCGTCCATTTCAAATGTTCTCGGGTAATAATTTGTTCTTGGTTTTCGAACTCTACATTTAACCATTGATGGTTACCACTTACCAGTTACCAATATAGATATACCTTTAATGAAGTGTTGGTTACCGATGTCTTTAATGAGTTTTTATTTCACATGTGCAGTCTATAGGCTTCAATATTCGTTTTTCAATAATAGTTACATACGATTACCCAACAGTTATTTTAATACGATTATCCAATGGTTATTTTAATAATACTATATCACAATTGTAGGTTAGTTCAGCTATAAATACATGCTTATTTATCAATTCATCACCCCAACTCAGTTGGGCTTTCAGAGTGAGCAGTTTAATCGTATATGAGCAATGAGGTTTCAGCACATCTTATGTGAGAGACTAGAGTTTGTCTTTCACAATGGAGAGGTATATATTCGAGAACAACCACCAGCATTTTCTTGAAGTACAATACTAATAGTATAGAGGAATTTATCAAAAAAGCGGGACTTTCTTGTCTGACAATCCAAAAAGCGGGAGTTGCATTTAAGTTACCAAAATACGGGAGTCGGATTCTTTCGTTCCGACAAGAGGAGAAGCTCGATAAAAATAAACCTAAACCTATGATCGGAAGTGCGTAATCCGACAAGGGGATTTCCAAAAAATAAATAAACCCCATGTCGGAATTGGGTAATCCCAAAGGAGGGTTATTGTTTTCAACTGCATACATGGTTGATTGTTTTCAATTGCATACGTATTTGATTGTTTTGAATTGCATACGTGTTTGATTGTTTTGAATTTATCAGATAAATATAATCAGATTTATATAATCAGATAAATTCAATTAGATAAAATTTTATTTGATAAATTCAATCAAATAAAGTTTTATCATATAAATTTAATCAGATATTTTGATTCTTATCGGTACTTTACACAGTCGGGTGCATATTTTCCAACATTTACGGATTCATCATTTTACCATGAAGACACAACGAAGGTTTGGAACACTGGCGGCGGGGACATATCAGGGCCGAGGACCCAACCTATCATTGAACAAAGACGAAGACAAAAACCGTGACATCGTGACTGTGGGTAAGGGGAATTATTGTATGTACATATTTATTAATAAATTACATTGAAAACTACATTTGTTTTGTTCACTTTCATTGAAATTACAAAAGTTGCATTTAAAAAAAATCAAATTTGTATTTCATTTTATGAATTCAATTCACAATACGGATGAATTAATAAATTAAATAAAGTAACCAATATTTTGATATTAAAAAAATCAAACTCCATTTTTTTCATTTTAAAATTAAGAAATACAAATAAATAAAAAAATTAACCTTGCTACTTGTCCAATACAAATAAACAAATAACTAAATTAAAAAAAAATTGTCGAATAAACACATGAATTATTCATGTGTAACAAGTACATGAATTTTGGAATTTATGTGTAAACTTTCAAAATAAAAGAACACCCTTAACCCGTATTATCATGCACTCTGTATTATCATTTAGAGGAGAAGTTGGAGGGTACGTTGCTCCGAATTAAATAAAAAAGAAATTAATGTGGTCAGATTAGTGAAATCCGACGTGGGGTGTAAAAATTTTCAAAACCCTTCCCCTAGTCGGAAGAGAGAATTCTGACTCCCGTAAATTGGGAAACCCTAGCTTTTTCCCTGTATTTTGGCACCCCACGTTAAGTTTTCCCGTATTTTGGGAAATCACCTATAAATTAATGCTAACGATCTTTGTTTCTTCATTTTTCTTTTTGATGAGATTTTTGTTCGATTGGTGATGATGAATTTAACATTGTTGTATTTAGTAATCCATTATTGCAATCGGCGATGATATGAGATATCCAACGAACAAAGAAGATGCATTCTCGTAATTGTTTTATTTTATGTCTCGCGGAAATGTGAGAATCATGAGGAAACTGTAACATTATTTTGAATTAATCAATAATAATGTCCGATCCCATAAGTGTGGTGCAATGATGGCGGATATTTGTAACGGTTTCCGTTACAAGAGTCACCTTGATGGTAGGTGATTATATATATTGCTCCATGATCCCCCCACTCCTTCTAAGGCATAAGGCTCAAAGCTCACATAAAGTATATACATCATCTAGATAGTGAGGAGTGAAATGGGAGACGAAAAGGCTTTCCGGGGTTCTTCCACGTTCTTCGACCGTTCATCAACAGTATGGCTGGAGGTTAGCGATCCTATTATTTCCGCTGTGTTTATATGATTTCAGGCTAACATTTGGTATCTGGACTTGTTTAATCTCTGCCTATTTGTTGTATGAACATCATGAATTTTATATGAACATTCGGTATATACATGTTCATATGTGTGTTCATCACATCACACATATATATGTTTAGTTCATGTATTATAAATATATGTGTGTATAATTTCCATGACATATGCATGAAAATTGAATCATACGTGTGTTAGAATAACACATATACATATCTATGTATGATGTAAATCATGATTACATGTCATTTGGGCATACATGAATAATTTCAATATGTATGAAAGGTGTTGTACATATGTTCGTATGTGTGTTCATATGTAATATATATATATATATATATATATATATATATATATATATAGGGTGTAGTTCCGGTGAGAAAGGAATCACAGGAGAGAAATGAGAATAAAATCTAGTCATCTAATTTTTTAAACCAACGGTGGAGAACGAATATAAATGAGGGCAGTAAATTAGTAATTAAATGGGACATTTTGGGGCAAATTTTACATTAGAGAAACGGTATTAATTATAAGGTCACACATGTAAATTACTATTGCTTCAAATACCGATCACTAAACCTCATCCCATTAATTTCTCCCTTGGCTACCACTTACGTAAAATTTCTACCAATACAAATGAGAGCATTAAATGTCATACACCATAAATTGTAAATTTAAATAATATATTCCGTAGTTCATACCATTAATATATTTTCACTTATTGTAGTAAAAGTTTTCCTCACATTTTATTTCTTTGTTTAGTTTATTTCTTTCTCACATAAAATTCTAACAAGTCATTGTTCGTATTGTGAATCTATGCAATACTCTTATTCTTAATATATAAACTCATTAAAAATCTATGTATTTTAGTTTTTTTTCTAAATCCGTCCAAATTTATGTTCACCAATGTATATGCACTTCGATATTCAACTGATGCACTTTGTATGAAGCTATATGCACCATTAATTTCATTAAATATTCACTCACAACTTTTCCCAAAACAAATAAAAGTGCAATTACTTCTTAAAGAATTGCTGCAATGTTGCCAAAAACAGCATAATGCAGTGTCTTAATTAAGTGCAACAAAAAAGTGTGAAAGAATATGAGTGATGAATCTGAGCCATATGACTAGTGCATGGATACATTTAACATGTGCATGTTTTCATTCTAATTGTGCATTATTCACAAATCAATAATGATGCACTTTTGACACATCATTAGTGCATATCATGATAAACGAATTTCATTGATATGCCCATGATACTTATTTTTTCTGATTTTGCACTTTTGATTTATGATTATATATATAAATTATGCACTTTTGATGATTTGCATTATGGCTAGTGCATTAATTAGTGCACATATAGTAGGAAGTATTAAGTTGTACATAATTGACAAAATGTGCATCTTTATAGTTTTAATTGTGCATTCTTCACATTAAGTTATACAACTTTTTTGCATTTATATTTTTTAGATTATAAATCAAATTGAAGAATATGTTAAATAAATTATATCATGAAAATGTTATTGAACCATAAAAAGATTTTGACAATATGATGATCTAAAACAAAAAAGTATAAGAAATAGAAAAACTGTATAATAATTATGTAATCTCTAAATGGATGAACAAAATAATTGAAAAGGCATTAATTAATAAAGATGTCAATAGTCCAGTAAAAAAATAAAGATATCGATTAGTTACAAAGTTTAATTAATGAACTAAAAAAGTAAACTCCTGATTTTTTGGGCGTAGTTGGCGGAAACAAAGGATCGGAGTAACATTAAAATCTCAATTTTGCCCAAACCTATCCCCACGTGAGTCTTTAAAAATCATATAAATCCAACGGTTAATATGTTTTCTTTCTTCTCTCCTAAGATGATATTCTCACTTGAACCAAAATATATATATATATATATATATATATATATATATATATATATATATATATATATTCGTGTGTTTCTCATATGGAACATATTTATATTTGTGTGTGATATAACTATGTATATAATCGTGTGTTATACATACATATGTTGTCCGAAAATTATATAGATTAATTGTTCGGAACTATATATGTTTATATGAGTTTATGTATTGGAATTGTTATATGCGTATATATTTGATCGTGAGAGATATATGCATATGATTTTCTTAAATTCATATGTTAACCTTTTAAATTCCTATCATTATGTTTGATGGAATGGCTATGGTTACATTTAATTCTTGAATATATGTGTTCTAAATGAATTATATATGTATGTGTGTGAGCGCGCCGTGTGTATAATATACATGTGTCTTGCAATTTTTTGTGATTCTTCTATCCATTTATAATTTGGAGAATATTAAAATGGATGGCTAGTTAATAATTTTGTTGCATTTTACATGCATACATATGGTATTTCTACATGTATATATGAAATTGAACATGTAGTATTTTGTATATCTTGCATGTTTTGTATCTATGTTTGCTACATTTATATGTATGGTGGAGATGCTATCGGGTATGGTGGCCGCCGGTTGATGTAGCACCATAGGGTGCTGCGGCGGTAGTGCCATGAGGAGTTTGTAATGGCATCATAAGGAATGTTGTCACTCCATTATGGTTTTCTGAATTTCTCCGTGAAGCTATAGAATAAGTTTTGGACTTATTACTATATTTGGGATCCACTTTGAATAAATTAAATTGTGCTGTTTTAATTTGGATCAATAAGGTTTTGTGTGTTGTGGAATAGTTTAATTCTTTTTCCAGCACATTTATTTTTAATTGTTACGTGATGCATTGATTTTAATCTTTATGCATTGCATTTAAATTGTGCATTGAAATCGCGCACTATATTGATATGGTCCGTAATGCATAACGTTAGAAATTAATGCCTTTAATGCGTAATATTAATGTCCTTGATGCGTAACGTATTATTAATGCTTTTAATGCGTAATATTAATGTCTTTAATACGTAACGTATTATTAATGCCTTGAATGCATAACGTCGGGAATTAATGCACATATTATTCCCATTAAAGTTGAACTTATGCATAATTATAATTGAAATGGTGCCTGCGATCTAAGCACATTAAGTAAGCAAAATTCCCATTCTATTACCTTTAAAGTTTTTCCCATAAATAAAATATTTGTGGTAGTACCCAAACAACAATTAACGTGATAAATTTAGACCGGGGAAAATTCTTGGGAAGTAAAAACTAGTTACGCTTCAATTCTTTATACTAATTTTTTCCTCGAATTGTTAATTTATCTAAAGAATTACTCTTTAATAAATCCTTGCCCTGATAGACTATCCTGGGAGCATATTAGGGGATTGTCCATCACGATTGTTGTTTTTTAAAACTTTAAAGGATTGCGTTTGTGATAATATAATTTTATTAATTTTAGAGTAGCCACAGCATCCTTAATTAATTAAAAATTATATATTAGGAAGCCTTTGGCGGAAATCACATTAATGTTAGGCATAAAATTTGTAATTAATTATATGTGATATGACATAATTTATCCCACAAGATTTTTTTTTTATATTTGTATGATTAATTAGGATAAAATATCGAACTATGGTAATAATTTATCCCACAGGAAATTATGATTCGGAATATAGTTTGATATGTTTATTGGTATGGGTACAAATTTTTTTAAGACTCATGCATAAGAATTTAGCCCACAAGCAATTTTTATGGCGGTTGAGTCATCATGGTGCATCATTTACATTGGTAATGCATGCAATTAAGTTATATATGTACTTCAAAACTAACACAAGTTATATATGAACCTTTTTTCAGGTTCTCAACCCATTACTCATTCTGAAATTTCATTAGGCCTTGAAATTCCCGAACTAACTAGTGACAACTATAAGGTTTGGAGAGAAAGAGTTCTCCTACACTTAGGTTGCATGGACATTGATTATGCTATTAGGAAGGATGAACCACCTGCCGTTAATGCACAAAGTACTCCGGCTGAAATTGCGCTATATGAGCGATGGGAGAGATCCAATCGGCTCAGTGTAATGTTTATCAAAACTAAAATTTCACCTGGAATTCGTGGCTCGGTTGATCAGCATAAGAATGTCAATGACTTGCTTAAGGCTATTGATGATCAATTTGTCACTTCAGAAAAGGCTTTAGCAAGTACCTTAATCTTGAAATTCTCCTCACTTCGTCTCACAACCGTTAAGGGTGTGCGAAAACACATCAAGAACAAATTTGATAAGTCTCGTACAACCACCTCTAAATCTAAGGGTAAAGGTAAAATGCTACCCAAAGCTGACATTAAGAAGGTACAAAAGTGTTATTTTTGTAAAAAGAAAGGACACATGAAGAAAGATTGTGCCAAGTTCAAGAAGTGGTTGGAGAATAAAGGTAACTTATCTTCCTTTGTTTGTCATGAATCCAATATGTGTGATGTTAACACTAATTCGAGGTGGATTGATTCTGGTTCTACAATCCACGTTGCAAACTCTTTACAGGGTATGCAGAATCTAAGGAAGCCAGTGGGAAGTGAGCAAAGCATCTTATCTGGAAACAAGATGGGCTCACATGTGGAAGCCATTGGAACATGCACTTTAATTTTAAGTAGTGGTTTTGTTTTAACTTTGGAAAAGACTTTTTATGTACCAAGTTTCTCACGAAACTGGATTTCAATTTCAAGACTAGTACCATTTGGGGTTTCCTTCAATTTCAAGAATAAAGTTATTGAATTATTCAATAAATCTACTTTTGTTGGAAAAGGTACTTTGTCTGATGGTCTTTATCGTATTGATTTGCAAAATGATGCCACACTTAATTCATTTCATCTGCATACTGGCTCCAAAAGATCTAGTGTTGACGAGAACTCCTCTATGTTGTGGCACCGGAGATTAGGTCACATCTCCATTGAAAGAATTAAGCGATTAGTTAATGATGGGGTACTCAGTACTCTTGATTTCTCTGATTTCGAAATTTGTGTAGAATGCATTAAGGGTAAGCAGACAAACAAGTTTAAAAAGGGTGCTAATAGGAGTTCAAGTATATTGGAAATCATACATACGTTGTCCAGAAATGGACTTGTCGGGTCAGAAATATTTTATCACCTTTATTGACGATTATTCTCGGTATACCTATGTGTATTTGCTTCAAAATAAGTATGAAGCATTGGATGCCTTCAAGTCTTTTAAGGCTGAAGTTGAGAACCAATGTGGGAAACAAATACAAATAGTTAAATCCGATAGAGGTGGTGAATATTATGGTAGATACATTGAAAATGGACAAGCACCTAGTGCGTTTGCTAAGTTTCTTCAAGAACATGGGATTGTTGCCCAATACACTATGTCTGGGTCTCCGGACCAAAATGGTGTTGCAGAGAGGAGAAACCGAACGCTTATTGACATGGTGCGGAGTATGCTTAGCAACTCCAATCTTCCTAAGTTTTTGTGGGCTGAAGCACTAAAGACGGCAACGTATATATTGAACCGAGTTCCAACCAAGGTTGTCCCTAAGACACCTTTGAGTTATTCAAAAGGTGGAAACCAAGTTTAAAACATATGCGTATTTGGGGATGCCCGTCTGAAGTGAGAATTTATAACCCACATGAGATGAAATTGGACCCAAGGACTATTAGTGGTTTCTTTATTGGATATGCACAGTCCTCTAAGAGTTATAGGTTTTATTGTCCATCTCATACGACTAGGATTGTGGAATCCAGAAATGCAAAATTTCTTGAGAATGACGTAGTTAGTGGGAGAGATCGGTTCAGGGACTTGATTCCTGTTCATGATCGTACGGAATCCCATCCTTCCACGTCATCACAGAGGTTGATTATTGTACAAAGCACCCCTCAAGGTCAAATTGGTACTCATCAACCTACTACAGAAATTCCACAATATGCTGAAAATATTCCAGTGGATCAACCTATTCAGGAAAATCAAATTCCTGATGCGGTAGTTGAACCTGAAGATCCTCAAGGAGATGATGGTTCAACATTAAGAAGGTCTAATCGAGTTAGAAGGTCAGCAATTCCTAGTGATTATGAAGTGTATTTGCAAGAAACTGACATTGGATCCGAAGATGATCCTGAAACGTTTTCACAAGCCATGAGTAGCCACAAGTCTGATTTATGGCACAAAGCCATGAAGGAAGAAATGGACTCCATTAAGAGTAACAAAGTCTGGGATCTAATAGAGTTGCCTAATGGGTCCAAGGTTGTTGGCTGCAAATGGGTCTATAAGACCAAAAGGGATTCATTAGGCAACATTGATAGATATAAAGCGAGACTTGTTGCTAAAGGTTTTACTCAAATCGAAGGAATTGACTACAAAGAGACATTCTCTCCTGTTTCTAAGAAAGATTCCCTTCGTGTGACTTTAGCCTTAGTTGCACATTTCAATCTTGAATTGCAACAAATGGATGTGAAAACTGCCTTTCTTAATGGTGATCTAGAAGAAGAGGTTTACATGACACAACCTGAAGGTTTTTCTTCTAGTCATGGTGAGCATTTAGTTTGCAAGCTTAATAAATCCATTTACGGTTTAAAACAAGCCCCCCGACAATGGTATCTCAAGTTCGATGGGATAATTTCTTCCTTTGGTTTTGTTGAAAGTCCCATGGATCATTGTATATACCAGAAGGTTAGTGGGAGTAAAATTTGTTTTCTTGTTTTATATGTGGATGATATTTTGCTCACAACAAATGATAAGGGGATGGTACATGAAGTGAAACAATTTCTCTTTAAAAACTTTGATATGAAGGGTATGGGTGAGGCATCTTTTGTCATTGGCATAAAGATCCATAGGGATAGATCTCTTGATATTCTGGGTCTATCACAAGAAACATATATCAACAGAGTTTTAGAGAGGTTTCGGATGAAGGATTGTTCATCGAGTGTTGCTCCCATAGTGAGAGGAGATAAATTCAGTTTGGACCAATGTCCAAAGAATGATTTTGAACAAAAATCCATGCATAATATTCCATATGCATCAGCAGGTTGTTGCTTGGGATATATCCAGGTTTGCACCAGGCCGGATATTTCCTTTGCTGTCGGGATGTTGGGCCGCTACCAGAGTAATTTGGGTTTGGACCACTGGAGAACTGCTAAACAGGTCATGAGATATCTTAAGGGAACAATTGATTACAGGGAAAAGTACGGATTAGATACATGTGGTTGTGGGCGTTTTCACTTAGGGATCTGTGATGATCTTTGTAACAAACGCAGCCTCGTGTTTTGCTACCGTTACCACCCGTGGGGTCTATTGGACCTGACCGTTAGTTAAATGCGACGTGGCATATATTTTTTTCCAAATAGGCTCCAGCGTGGCCAAATAGTGTATGGCATCAAGTTAGACCCGAATAGCTGGTTCTTCAATCCGGACTCGGCGGAGGAATTCGACCAGAAGTTCTTCAGGAAATTCACCCTCCTCGGCAACCTATGCCACCAGACGAACACCTCGTTGAGGAAGCTCTGGTCGCCGCCATTGTAGGAGACGGTCTCCTCCCGGCGCTGCATCAGCATTTGGAACGTGCAGTCGGAGGGCTCTATCACCATCACGCCGGAGTTAAATATAGATCTGTCGTTCCCGGAGGCGGACATCTGAGGAAATCCAAAGAGGAAATCGATGTTGCGGAGAACGATGATGTCGGAGTCGATGAATATGATCTCCTCGTAGCCGGTGAGCTGCCATAGCCGGAACTTGCTGTAGTTGTATTCGTTGTAGGTGCCCTTCTCGGATCTGGGATTTCGGATCCTCTTGATGAATCGGAGCTTCCACCCGGATTTGATGAGAGCGTTGCGTTTGAATGGGGAGATGCTTTGGTCCAGGAGGAGGATAAGGTCGCGTTTGGTTCCGGTTCGGAAGAGCTTTATGCCATTGGCCACGTTGGAGCCTATTTGGAAAAAAATATATGCCACGTCGCATTTAACTAACGGCCAGGTCCAATAGACCCCACGGGTGGTAACTGTAGCAAAACACGAGGCTGCGTTTGTTACAAAGATCATCACAGACCCCTAAGTGAAAACGCCCACAACCACAGGTATCTAATCCGTACTTTTTCCCTTGATTACAAGCTCATGTATAGAAGAACTGACAACTTGGAAGTTGTGGGTTATTCTGACTCGGACTATGCCGGTTGTGTTGATTCAAGAAAATCAACTTCGGGATATATTTTTATCATGGTCGGTGGAGCTGTTTCATGGAAGAGCGCCAAACAAACTTCGATCGCTACTTCTACTATGGAGGCCGAGGTCATTTCTTATTTTGAGGCTACATCGCAAGGTGTATGGCTTAAGAATTTTATTTTTGGGCTTAGAATTATTTACTCAATATCTAGGCCATTAAAGGTTTATTGTGACAACTCTGTTGCGGTCTTCCTATCAAAGAATGACAAAAGTGGTAGTCGAATTAAGCATATCGACACCAAATATTTGTCTATAAGGGAGCGCGTCAAAAATAAAATAATGGTCATTGAGCATATTAGCACAGAGTTGATGATTGCTGATCCTTTGACTAAAGGCATGTCACCATTCAAATTCAAGGATCGTGTGCCGAATATGGGACTTTGTTCCAATTTCTATTAATACATTCAGTTATTTACGAAATTCTTATGCATTAAGACACTTTTCTCATTAAGATGCGCAAATTTAATTATGTTATATCCGGCACACATCCCACCCTCTCCTTTTTGAATACACAGCATTTAATGTTTATTGAGCCGTGAGCTTAACAATAGATGGTCTTTATTGAGCCCTGAAATCTGCATTGGAGATTGGGCCTCTATTAAAATTTATTAGCAGACTAGAAAACTTGGACCATACCCGTTACTGAACCCATTTCAAAGTGACCCGACTTGTTACTGTACAGTGTTTTGGCAGGAACACTGTACAGTTTCCTCTTGCTTTTGTATATAGAAAGATATAGATGAGTTTGATAAAATTGTAAGGGATGAATGATTAAACTAACCCTCGGACATCTGACCGCCATAGGTCATTTTATTTTCATGTGTTTGGATCTGCTTAATTATTATAGTACTACTTGCTACCTAGCCTAAGAAACGGTGATATGGATTAATAAAGTAAAAAAAATATAATTGAGATTTGTGCGGCGCAAAGAAAAACAACTTTAAATATATACATGTGTTTATATATATATATATATATATATATATATATATATGTGTGTGTGTGTGTGTGTGTGTGTGTGTGTGTGTGTGTATTGCTTTGAATAGAAATTATAATATTTTATGAATATATATTAACCCTCAAGATGTCCCTTGTGTAGGAATCATTGTGAAACCACTGATCATATATTTTTTGGGTGCTCCTATACTAAAATCATTTGGCAGTACTTTATGGGAGTGTTTGAAATCCCTATTCCCAGGAATAAGTCTATTAGACAAGTCTTGGTTCTTTGGTGGCTTGAAGCTGGATCAAAAACAATGGCAGGTGTTTTTAAACATAATCTGCCTGGAATCATCACTTGGCATATATGGAAGGTATATTCTTCATATACTTGGGGTACAGGTTCTATCCCTAAACCAGAACACCTTATTTTCCAAATCAAATTTTACACTCAGAAATGGGCTTATTCTTTGAGCAAGTTCAAAGCTCGTAAGGTGGACAACTTTCTTATTCAAGAGAATCTTATTCCAGCTAATTTCAAGTTTAATAAATCAGGAATTCAAGTTATCAGATGGAAAAGGCCTACGCAACAATTCAAATTAAATGTAGATGCTTCGTTCAAACCTGGTTGTGTTGCGGGTGGGGCTGTTCTTAGGAATCGCTATGGCGAACTGATTTGGGTTGTGACCTTTGCTATCCAAGCGTGTTCCAGTGGACAAATCAGAGACATAAAATTATATTTTATCACTATTTTGCATGAATATAATAAATAATGTTTAATATGATCAATATGTTTGTGTGTATCTCTATATATACAC